CTAAGTTCTTATTTACAGATCTGCTGACAATACCTTATTTGTTTAATTTATTGGTAAAGATGTTCTTTTTATTCAATTCTATGTTGATGATATCATTTTCGAAGCTACTAATAAGGATCTTTGTCATAAGTTTGAAAATTTGATACAGAATGGATTGAAGATGAGCATTATAGGAGAGCTGAAGTATTTGCTAGGATTTTAGGTGAAGCAAACGAATGATAGCGTGTTTACCTCACATGAGAAGTATGTGAAAGAGCTTCTTGAATGCTTCGATATAGACCATTTGAAAGCAGCCTTCAACCGCGATGAGCCCTTCTGCAAAGCTTACAAAAGATAGTCGGGAGTATCAATTGATGAAAAGAGATATAGGGAAATGATCGATAGCCTCTTATATTCTTGTTGTTTCTCATCCGGACATTATTTTTTCTATATGTTTATATGTAAGGTTTCAAAAATCCTAAAAAAATGACATTTGAAAGATGTAAAATGAATTTGTTTAATATCTAATTGGAATCCTAAAATTTGATTTATAAGTTTCCATTATGTGTTTTTTTTTTTTTTTGATTTGGTTGGATATTCTGATAGTGATTATGTTGGATGTTATATAGATAGAAAGAGCACTAGTAATACAGTACATCTTTTAGGATATTCTGTAGTTTCTTGGTCAAGTAGGAACTTAAACTGTGTAATTTTATCTACTATAGAAGCCGAGTATATCGCATTAGGTAGTTGTTGTGCACAAGCCCTTTGGATGTCTTTGACTCTACAGGACTACGACATCAATTTTGAGAAGGTTCCTCTTAGATGTGATAGTAAGCGTACAATTGATTTGAGTAACAATCCAGTACCATTCGTTGGAAAATCACACAGATGTACAACATCACTCCATTAGAGACCACATTGCTAAAGAGAATGTTTAGATTGAGTTTGTCTCCACTAATCAGCAACTTACAGATATTTTGCGTCTGAAGGTCGTTTCACTAGATTGAGATAGGATTTAAACATTCTATCTCTTAATATCTAGCATGTTACATTTTCTTATTTTATGTACATATTTTTTTCCTTTTCTTTTCTTTCTAAGTCTTTTACTTTTTTTTATTTTCTATATTTTATAGAAAAAATAAAATAAACATTTCTCTTACTTTTTTTGTTGTTTTCTTTAAAAAACCCTTAGATATGCTTATGTATATGCTTGTACAAGTTTAGTTCATATGAGATTATTCTTTTGGTATATAGAATTAATTATGCCACACAGGGTCATGTAGTTTTTCAATCTATATGTACATATTTTTTCACACAAGGATCAAAAGATGATTACATGACACGTTGTTTACACGAGATATTTCACATAGAAATTTCACACACCTATTTCTATATGTATCATATTTTGTGATGTGAAATAGTGGTAGAAAGCCTTATAGTTGGTTTATACATATTTTTGTTATATCAAATAATTTTGAGCTCATTTTTGACTTGACTAATGCACAATCCTTTATCTTTACATGTGCTAAATGAATTTGTTTCAAATATCAAACAAACAATATGAGTGTATTTGTTAAAAGATGATCAAAGATCCAAATTCTTAGGAAATCCACAGAAACTTGAGTGTATTTGTTACAAGATGGTCAAGGATCTACACTCCTTGATTTGTGTTTGTGCGTATCTCATAGGTTAATGTACTGAATATATGTCCTAGATGGTGTACATCACCCACCAACAATATCATTCTTCCTCCTAAATCTTGTTTAGTTGAGGTGATAGGAAGACACTTTGATCATTAGTCTCTAAGGTTGAGATAGTTCAAGTCTTATTATTACTCAATATTCACTTTGATACACCCAAATTTATCCAATGAACTAGTATAAGTCTTTTCACTATTGATTTCACACACTTTATACTGATATTGAATCATTTTGTGTGTTCTTTTTGATGTAATTTTTCTTGTGTCATGTGTTTCGTGATTAAATTTTGATACGTTGTGCTATTTTTCTAAAATTTTTGTATGACTCACTATGCTTTTCTTTCCTGAACACCTTTTGGATGATTTTTTATCTGAATTTCTATTATATTAAGTATATCCACTGGTATGTTTTTCACTTTTGCTAATAAGAAAATGGGGAGAATTTTGGTGAAATTTGATGAGTTTTTGCATGAATGGAGCTCTTGACTAAGTGGGTTTCATGTTTTGATTCTTTTTGAAAAATTTCAAACACTGGATGCATTAATTTGGGGGAAGTTTTATAATACATGTGCTTGATTACGCTTTTATGAATGCGTGAATGTAGGGGAGCATTGCATTTCTTTTTCTTTTGCATAATGTTTATTGTTGGTGTCTATATTTCTCAAATATGCATGTATTTTGGTATTTTAAATTTTAAGTTTTTTGTTACCAAAAGGGGAAGATTGTTAGAATTTAGTCTATACGATATCTCCTATTTGAGTAGTAACAAACTCTCATTTAGTATTAATATTTATTTGAGATGATATAGTATAGGTAAATACATGTATGAGAATATGAGGTAAAATAATGAGAAAATCAACTCAAAAGTTGTTTTCGGTATTTCTATCATCTATGATAGGACTTGACATTCGATGATGAGAAGGTGCTCATCGATGGTCAATATACATCATCGGTGATTTTGACTCTAGAGACTTTCATATCATCGACTGACTTTATTAGGTCTCGTGTTTTGATGATAATTTATAAACCCCATTATTGGTGCTAATTGCTTGTAAAGTGATATTATACAGGATGTATTTTATCAAGCAATATAGTGTCATAATTGGAGGATGATTGGATTTGTGCCATAACGATGATATTCGTGGAGGTTGAGGCAAGTTGATGAAGAAGCCCTACAATGCTCAAAGATCGACTAAAGTGATTATCAAATAAAGAAGAGCATTCAAGTGTAGATTCAAGAAGAGCTTCATCAACAAAATTGAGCAAATATTGACACTTAAGTCTTGTATACTATTGTAATCGATATTTGCATTTTTATTTTTCTCTCTAGATCATAATGTAGGCAAGAAACAAAGCAGATAACTTTTGAAGCATTTGGGGATCACATACACACGTTTCAAAACTCATACTTTTTAATTAATTTGCAAAATAGTAGGTTTTCACAAATGGAAAATGATATTCTGAAAATTTCTCTTCTAACATCTTCATTTTCATATATAAAATTATTTTCCCAAGTTTTAATAATTTTTGAGTTAATTTAATATTTTAAATCTATTTTAGAAAACCAGGTGTTCTGAAAAATACATGTAATTGGAATATATCAGTTATTAGTCGGCTGGTTCATCCCTACCAGTCAACCAATCAAAAGCTTTTTTTTAGAACCTGCAGTCAGCCGATAATCAGTCGACCAATATACGCTCATTGTTCGACCGATGGCATATGACCAGTTGATCGATGAACACATGTCGGTCGACCGATGGAGTCATCAGCTTTCTGTTTCAGCCAAAGGTCATCTCATCGCTCGATCGATCATGGTCCACCAGTCGACCTATAACACTGTAACGGCTAGTTTTCCAGACTCCGGGATTTTAGGGATTTTATTAGATTTTGTGATTTTCTTTGGATTTGGGCTATTGTTTTAAGTGTCTACATATACCCTTCAGTCCTCATTTATTATTCAACCAACTAAGCTAAGAAAATTGAAGAGAAACACTTGTGTTTTGTTTTTGAGACTCCTAAGCCAAAACTTTCATCTTATTCTCAAGTTCTCAATTTTGGTTTTTCGCTTTCATATCCCACAACCATTGAGCTTCAAATTGTTTATCTCTTAATCATTGCCATAGGATTGTTGTAAGAGAGATCATTTCACCATCTTGTATTGTGTGGAGAGCTTAATCTCGTGGAGATCATTGTGTGGAGAGTTAGATCTTGGGGAGATCGTTGTGAAGAAGTTCCGGATTCTAAACTGGATTGTGTTAGTGGATTACCATCGGGAGAGGTGGTCAGGAACGTAGGTCGAGAGGACCAAACCTCGTGAACACATCGGCGTGCAAATTGGCTCGGTCCTCGTGAACACATCGACGTGCAAATTGGCTATCTCTCTCTCTCTCTCTCTCTCTCTCTCTCTCTCTCTCTCTCTCTCTTAATTATTTCCATATTACAATATTGTATCTTGAATTGCATTGAATTTTATTAATTGCACATTATTGTTCGATTACCCTATTCATTCCCCCTAGGGTAATTTTAGGCTTCTCAACCATCGATGGGATCTCGACACTATTGATGGTTGAGAGGCACAATAGATGATAAAGTCAGGTGATTGCATACTTTTAGGTATAATCACAGCCGTTCATGGTTCATAATTATCTCCAAACTCTACCCCATTTAAGATATCTCTTTTCTGGCCTACTGGGCAATCTATGTCATTGAGTGAGAGAGAGAGGGGGGGGGGGAATAAAAGAAAATAGGAGAGAAGGAGTTCTAGGGTTTGATTTGTGAAGATGAAGTTGAAGATTTTGACCCACGAAGCCCTGTCAAATTCTCACTCGTCATGCACAACTTCTCCGGATCGTTTCAGCAAGAAGAGTGCCCTTGGATTGATCTTCTTCACTGTTCTTTATCGAACTACGCTTATATCCTTCGAGGGACAGTTTGTTTTAACAAAAGGACTGCAAGATCTTTGACAGCGTATTCAAGCCGATTGAATCGAGTGTTGCGACTAGGTAAGGCTAAGAGTTACTCATTGTGGGAGTTTGGTTAGACAATAGTTTTGGGTAGATTCCAAGATGCGGTCTTGTCAGCCTACTAAATCCAGTTTGTGATTCAGGCGAACTCTTTGCTTAGTGAGGAACCTTCGCGAGAAGGAAGAATGAACATAGGATTGTTATCTAGACCTTTATAAAAATCTAATGTATTATTGATTGATTGCTCTTGGTGTTTGATTATATTATTTTATATCGTTTATCACTTTTACTTTATATATTTAGCTGCTGTGTTTTTGGTAAAAAAATGATAGCAATCCTATTCAACACCCATTATTTCTAATGAGAGCCTTCATTGTCACAATTTCTGCAAATAATAGAGATCTGAAGCTATATTTACAAGCACTTATAGTAATTACAAGAGTCCGTGGAACTTCTACTTATCATTTGTAGTTGAAGTTTCTTCTTGACACTGCAGTGTCCCTAAATTGACATCATTGATGTTCGACCCGTCAGCAGTTTGTGAAACGAACATCATTCTGTAAAGCTTTGAAGAGACTGTAAGTTTTCTATCTTCGCGGAGCCTACTGTGATCAACCGAAAAAGAATTATCTTGCATGTATTTATGAGGCTTCTACTCTTCTTCTCTTCCAAACCAGCGGCGCTACAAGCATCCAAACTGCAAACACAATCAGCTCGAAGAAGTATTAAGAGGAAGCAATTGCAATATTTCCGCTTATAACATTATTATAATAAGATAAGATACGCTGTATGAGCATAAACTTACTGTAAATAAGCGCCGCGAGCCATTCATTACCAACTCTTACCCAGGTACTGGCCCATCCCACATCAATTGTCCATCTAAGAAAATTAATGTAACATAATTAGTATCGCATAATTATTATTCTGGTGCTTATAATGCTTTTTACTGGTATGAGAACTTACTTCTTCATAGTTTTATGTGTATTCCATCCAACGAAGAGCATTCCAAAGTACATAGCTCCCATGGCAAATACAAAATGGAAGAAGCCATAACCATAAGGTACATCGTCTTCTGACTCTGCTTCGCTCTTCTTGAACTGTATTTATATATTGAAAGCTATTAAGTTCACAGTTATCAATAAATAAAAGGTTTAATTGGACATAACTTCCTGTAGTATTGATATTTTTAACTTACTACTCCTGTAGTATTTGTACCTGAAGACATTTGGAGTCTATCCCTGTCGAAAATGTTGCCGCTGCAATAACAAGTATAGCGACGACAAAGCTCTGTTGAGAACGTCAAGTTTGGATCAGGCACGCTTAAAACTAATGCCAAGAATTTTTCAAGGATAGAACAGGATTTCACCAATTGACGGGTATTTTCTTAGCTTGTTGGAAATATAATCCATAAAAAAAAGATTAGGAACCGCATACCACAATAGTAAGCCAATCTGCATTTGTTGCAGCTTCTGCTTTCCTATTGCAGATTTCTGTATTTGGTTCACTGTAATTGCAAATCAAGTACAAGTTAGTACAATTTAGTTTAGGGTAAATTGCACATAGAGCCATTGTAGTTTCACTTTTTGACACTTACTATTTACTACCCCTGTAGTTTCATAGTTGCAGGTAGACACCATGAAATTAGTGAGTCTATCTGAGGGGAAAAAGCCAAATGAAATTAACCCGAGGGTCTAACTGCAGCAATGAGACTATAGGGTAGTAAATTCATGGCAAATCTGCAGGGGGTGTATGTGCAAATTTCTTTACATTTTTTTATCAGAAAACATAGAAAACATAGAAGCCAGAAGTTTCAAACCAAGTTACCTCCTGATAGCACACCAACAAAGGAACACAATGTAAGTCCCCATTAATCCTGGTGCAAGAAGTCCCGCATTTACCTATCACAAAGGATTAAACTGCAGTAAGAAATTTTAACTTTGAAACTTTTACGGTTAGAAAGAAACAAAGTTATCTATTTACTTTTGGATGAACCGAGACAAAGGTAGTGACTTGGAGAAGAGCGAGAGTGAGTGTGATGAAGAGGATGTTAAGCTTGCAGGTTGGCTTTGGCGCGTACCAAATGTACATCAACACAATGCCGATGATTGAGGCAACGTATGATGCAATTGAGATGACTGATACATGGATTCGGCTGCAATCATATAAATATAGAAATGAAACAATCGAAAAAAAATTTACATTAAATGCAATTTACAATTTATTTAACTTTGATTACAGTTGTTTATCATGAAATTAAGGAATTCATAGATCTCAAATAACAAATTCTCTAATATCATCCAAACAGTCCAAAAGGGATATATGGTACTGATTTATTACATGTTTGGGTGGTGGCGTAAGTATATGCATGAAGAAAATTATATATGTAACTTAAAATTGCTGCAGTTTTGTTCTTGTGCTTAATTCTCGAACATACCATCTTTCTGCATTTTTCTCTGATCTGCAACAGTCATTCAACCATGTTATGAAACTGATCACACTAATGAGCTGAATCACTAGAAACACCCTGAAAAAGAAAATTTCACCAGAATTAAACAATTAAATTTCCAGAAAAAAATCTATTTCTTGTTAATAATCAATAATTTATAATTACCCAGCACCAAAATGTGCAATCCGCCCTGCAAAAACAACCAAAAACAAGAATCAAAACAGGCAAGCCAACTGATGAAAGCTCACACTCAGTAAGAAGTTAAAGATTACCATAGAATTCGATAAATCCCGAGGGAACCAGGAAAGGGATTCCCAAGTAAAACAGCCACATTATGACTTTGGCAGGCCACCATTCGGAGTGCCATGAATTTCTAGGATCCTCCAATTTCTTCGTGCCAGCAGTTGAGAGGAACATTATGAAGAAGAATAACTAATTCACTGTTAAAGATTAACCACTAAAAATGTTCATGTTCTATACAAAATCCTGAACTATAAGTCTAAAGATGCATTTAAATGATACTTTAAGTTCAGTGCTTCTCAAAAAAATTCATGTTACATGATAGCAAGTTGCAAGAGTTACCCTTTTTCGAAAAAGAAAGTGACATGCAGACTAATCTTGCCAATCTGATTGGATTGAGAACAAAATTAAAAAGGGACTTTTTCCCATCCCTCTAGAATAAATTCATGTATAAAATGAAAGAAAAAGGACTTAAAAGTTACAAACAAAATTTTTGGAACATATTTGACATATTCATGGCCTTGTAGTAGTATACATGTTTTAACAACTATATATGATATGATAACATCCAAAAAGTTAGAATCTCCTTATCAAACTTAAATATTTTATAAATTTTTATTTAACATATTGCATCAAAATCTAACCACCCCAAATTCAACTTTGACCAATAAGGATACAAAACAGCCCAAACTGATACGAAACAAATCCGCATACACAAATCCGCATACACATATATGTTAAGATATTTTTTTATTAAGTGGGTCCCACCTTTTTGCATTCATCTTTGGCTGCAGCCGTAAAGAAGGAAAAATGAAAAGTAAGGTGGGTCCCACGTTTTTACCACCCATAGTCAGGGGAGTTTAGTTGAATCAAAGAGTTCAGGCGAGTTTCGTTGGAAACACCCAAACTTCCAGGGTGGTTTTGTGAAATTTAACCAACATGCTATACAGTAGTAATCAAGAAGAAGGGGAAGCTTACTCATTAGCTCAGAAAGCGCAGCATGGCCATAATCTCGAATTGTCCATGCTAATAAACTCGTAACAAGAAAAAATAAGCCATATATGTATCGAGCCATCAAAGGACTTGGACCGATACAGAAATGTGTACAACATGAATCCTGCATAAAATGCTCATATCTCTCTCTATGACTATGGTTGTTGTTATTATTTCCACGATCCTCCATAGCTTCCCTCGTCATTAACCAGTTATTACTGCAACGTGAAGAGGAAGAAAATGACATTGGATTCAAGAAATGAGCTAATGGTATTAACTAATATAGAGGTTGGCAAGATTTGTTCAGATATTTTTTTGGAGTGACTTCCTTTTTAACTTTTTCCTTTTTTTTCTTTTTTTTTTAAGATTTGCAGCAAAAATATATGTCAGGTTCTTGATAGAAGCTTCTTGAGTTTAGACAGTTCATGAGTTTAGTTGCCTGATAAGCTCATAAGAACATTTTGACTGTTTCTTTCAAAAGAAACTAAAAGCACCATTCTGGTAAATGAGTACTGTAACTAAATATCTATATCTTACCATTTTGGATGAGATCTATTTAACAGTTCAGAGGTTAATAAATAGTCATAAATGAAGGACGACAACATTAGTTCAATATATCATGCATGATTCAGAATTTCATTTTGAAAGTTCTTTTAAATGTAAATTTAGCAAGAAAAAGAAAACTAAACTTTGTGGGTGATTTGTGCAAAACCCCTGAATTTTAAAAATCAGAGAAATCCCCCTAAACTTCGGGTGGTTGATATTTCTTCGTCATGCCAGGAAAATAATTTACACGAAAAGGTCCATTAGGTACCTAATCATTATGTCATAATAGATCTTGTTGGTCTTGAGAGTGGAGACCCAAACCTAGAATCAAAATCAACAATCGCATGAAAATTCAAGACAGGTCATGGGTGTGGTGTCTGTCACACCCTGGTGTGGCAAAGTCTACCCTGTCTGTCATAGGTGTGGTTTTTGTCATACCCTGGTGTGACAGAGTCTGCCATGTCTGTCATGGGTGTGGTGTCTGCCACACTAGGGGGTGTGGCAGACTCGTTTTAGAATCCTAATCTGTTTGGAATTGTGTTTTGTTATAAATAGAAACACGTCCCTTTAGGATTTAAGAGAGAAAAAGAGCACGAAAAAAGAGGGTTTTGAGGGCTCTTTGAGATTAGAAATCTTAGAGAGATAGAGGCCAATTGCAAGCATTGTAATTTTCTTAAAGTAATTAAAGAATTGTGTGTGGCTCCCGAGGACGTAGGCACGTTGCCGAACCTCGTAAATCTGGTGTGTTCTTTCTGTTGCCCTTCTTGTTTTGATAATGTTTAACAAACAATTTACTTCTAATATTGTTTGTTTAGTGTTTGTATAATTCTATTTATTATAAACAAACAACATGTTGGAGGATGGATGGAATTGCGCATTCACGATCATATCCAATGGTGGTTAGCGGAATTGTGGAGTAAAGCCTTGCATTTCAAGTTCAAGATCCAAGTTCAAGCTTCATCCGCAAGATTACCAAGTCAAGCTATTGAAGATCAAGATCAAGCTTGGATAATTTAGTTTAGGAGTTTATATTATGTGTGTTAGTACCTTAAGCTCAATATAATATGCACACACATTTTATTGGTTTCTTTGTATATATATATAGTTACATATATATACATAAGTTAAGTTCTGGTTTCTATGTATATTTAGTAATATGTATACATACATGGTTTTGAGTTTTCAAGTTTTACTATGAAACAATTGAATACAATTGAAAATACATTTCTTGTTTCATACTTATATACATATATATGATTTTATTAATATCAACTTTATTTAGTTCAATGAAATCATGTTTTAGTGCATTATATATGTATTTTGATAAAATACTATATTCATTATTTATAGACTTCAAAACAATAGTTTACATCATTCTTCAAGTCTATAAAATCATTTTGTATTGTTTCAAAATATGGTTAAGTATATATATATAGTTATATATATATATACATAAGTTAAGTTTTGGTTTCTATGTATATTTAGTTATATATATACACACATGGTTTTGAGTTTTTAAGCTTTAATATGAAACAATTGAATATAATTAGAAAACATACTTTTGTTTCATACTTATATGCATATATATGATTTTATCAATATCAATTTTATTTAGTTCAATGAAATCATGTTTTAGTGCATTATATGTGTATTTTGATAAAATACTATATTCATTATTTATAGACTTCATAACAATAGTTTACATCTTTCTTCAAGTCTATAAAACTATTTTGTATTGTTTCAAAACATGGTTAAGCTAAAATGTCAAAACTCATATGTTTACATTTTTATGTTTTGGACTATTTTGTAAAATGATGATATTTTTTATTTGGGAGGTCCTTTCCAAAAACTAGTTTTTGTAGCATGTGTATTATCATGTCTACAATCATTTCCTAAAGTTTTACATTTTTTAGAATTTATTTGATATTTTTAAACAGGATTTTAAAATCAGAAAATAGTTTTTCAAACCTGTATTTTCATGTATCAGTTCACGATCGACCACCACGGTCGACCGTGCCTTTGATTTTCCCTGCGAAGACATCAGCAACTTTTACGGTCGACCGCCACGGTCGACCGTCAGCTTAAAAATTCCCACGGTCGACCGTCAGCTCGAAAATTCCCACGATCGACCGCCACGGTCGCCCGCCAAAGTTTCTGGAAATTTTTTAAGTTTCGAAAGTGGCTTGCGGTCGACCACGAGATTTTCACGGTCGATCGTCGTTCACTCCAATGATCATTTTGTACAGAATCTAATTTTTGATTCTGTTAGTTTTTTGGTCATTTCTGTTGGGCTTTTGGCTAATGTTTTGGGAGGCTATAAATACCCCTTTGATCTCAGTTCTCAGAGCAATTCAAGAAGTTTTTAAACAAGAGTTTAGCAAGGGTTTAAGTTTGTTTAGTGTTTGCTTAAAAGAGTTTTGTTTGTGAAGAAGTTTTACACAAGTAGAGGAGATCATCTATATTTCTTGGGCTTCATTTTTAATCCATCTCTCCATCTTGTTTTTCAGAGAAGATTTCTAAACTCAATACTAGCTTTGTATTGATTCTTTGTTGTTTATCATTTCCATTAAGCTAGTTTTTTCAATTGAGTTTAGTTGATTTGATTTCACTCATTTCTTACACATACCCACTTGAGCTTATTGTATTTTCATACATAGTATATTTGGGTTGGTGAGTGTTGTAACAATTAAGTGTGAGCTTTCATTGTGTTCTCATCCATATTAGAGAATAATCATTTATTGTATTGTGCTTATTGTGAGATTCACTTTGTAATACACTTGTACACCGAGAGAAGTGTGTGGCGAGAGTCGGGGATCATCCAAAGAGGAGTGGCGTCGGTTGACGAACCTAGGAAGATGTTGTATCCGAGTACTTGAGGGAGACACATCTAGTTCAACATTTGAGATGGTGTAGAGTGGGATTACAAAAGTGTGTTAGTTGTAGAGTTTTCGGTAAACTAGAAAACCATATTGTGTGGTGTAAACGTTATTCGAGTAAGCGTAGAAAACCCGATTGTTGTGATAGTGGAGATCTCCTCGAGGTGAGGAGCGGAGATGTAGGTCAAGTGGTTAGACCAAACTCTGTGATCATATCGTTTTGTTTGTGATTGCATTGGCGTTCTTATTCTTGTATTCATATCTTATATCGCCTTTGTGTATTGCTCTTCATATTGCCCTATCCCTTTTGTAGACTGTTTATTTTATCCTTGTGTTAGTTTATATATCCTTGCTCATGTGTTTGTAATATCTCATTGCTAGGATATATTCATTTGTTCATATTGCTTATCCGAGCTCATATATCTTGTTGTATTTTATACTTGCTAAGATAACTTATTAATTATTTTTAATTGACATAAAATCAGATTAGATTAGCATAAGACCCTAATCACCCCCCTCTAGGGTCTAACACTTTCTTGTTTACTTTCCTACAAGTTTTTATCTTTGATTTATGGTGAATTTCTATCTTGCTCAACTCTCAAACACAAGATCCGGAAGGGTACGGATTTGATTTGATTATTTCGAATCCTCAATAACTGGTATCAGAGCTTCATTCAGTAAATTTATGAGAAAGAGAGCCATGACAGAGGAAATCAAATCTAAGATTGAGAAGTTTGACGGTTCAGACTTCATCTACTGGAAGTCGCAGATGGAGGACTATCTGTACCAGAAGGACTTGTATTGCCCATTGATGGGCAAGGAAAAGGGACAGAAGAAAGAGGAGTTAGATGGTGATTGGGAGATACTGGATAGGAAGGCTCTAGGGCAAATCCGATTATCGCTTGTCAAATCAGTAGCCCATAATATTTTGAAGGAGAAGACGACGGTGGGGCTTATGGAAGCGCTCGTGAAGATGTACGAGCAATCGTTGGCAGCAAATAAGGTGCATCTCGTCAAAACTCTTTTCAACCTCAAGATGGCAGAAGGATGGTCCTTCACGATGCACCTCAGCGAGTTCAACACGATTGTTGATCAGCTTATCTCCGTGAGTATCACATTTGATAACAAAGTGCAAGCCCTATTGATTCTATCGCAGTTGCCGGATAGTTGGACAGGTTGTGTGACGGCAATCAGTAATTCGGCGGGGAAGGAGAAGTTGAAGCTGAGTGAGGTTGTTAGCATGATTCTATCCGAGGAGGTTAGAATGAAATCGTTCGAATCAGAATGTTCAGGTTCAGCTCTAAATTTTGAGCAGAGAGGCAGAAGCCAGAAGAAAGAAAACCAGAACAGGAATCAATCGAAATCAGTAAAGAAGATGTCAAACTCGAAGGTTAGGCCTATCAAAAGGAAGTGTTAGAACTGCGGCCAGGAGGACCATATGTCTTCAGTCTGCAAGAGTCCAAAAAAGGATGCGGGTGAGCAGGAGGCTCATATCGTACAAGATGTCTTGATCCTTGCTATGGATAGCGACTCAGATTCTTTAGTCATCGATTCAGGAGCCTCTTTCCACGCCACTGCTAACATGAAGCTCTTTCAGAATTATATAGCAGGGGACTTTGGAAATGTATATTTGGTGAATAACGAGCCCTGTAATATTGTTGGAAAGGGTGAAGTGCAGATTCAGATGAAAGGCTCTAAGTGGACCTTAAAGAACGTGAGACACGTGCCAAAGCTGAAGAGGAATCTTGTTTCAGTGGGACAGCTTGGAGCAGAAGGCTATGTTTCGACATTCACAG